ATTGGTCCCGTAGCGCCGCTCTGGGCGCCACTGGACCAACCCAGCAGCACCGATTCAGCCGCTGTTGAAACTAATCAGTTTCAGCAGCGGCTGAATCTGGACGCCAGTTCCGACTTACATACAGATTCAACTTAAGAACAAACCCACAGTCCCTATCTTGTACGTAACCCGGGGACTGCCTGTACTTACTTTTATGGTAGCTGGAGTTCTTTGAGATTTGTTGTCCATGTATACTCCACACTTGGCATGCACATGATGCACATGCTCAAATTGGAGACTTCTGGCTACAAGTATCTGCTGGAGCCACACACGGGGAAGGGTCCAATTGCTATTCATTTGGAAGGAGGGCAGGTTGTGGAATATATATGGACACCACATCTTTAAAAACTCCAGTCACTGTAAAGATAAGTAACTTCTCTATCTTCTCTGAGTGCTTATCCATATACATTTCACTCTTGGTTACTTCCAACAGTGAGCAGATAAAAGGAGGAAGGTGCTTGAAGTCTACTTGGACAAAGACTGCAGTACATCTCTACCAAAAGACGCATCAGACCTTAATGATTCCCCTGTGTTGGGACTGCTGTGTTGGATGAGAGGCAATACTTAAAATTGGATATGCAACTCAGAATGCAACCTCTCCAAGCCACAGCGCCAAGAAGGTGATTGTGGTGAGGAAATGAAACAACAGATAAAAACTTCCTAAACAATCCAAAGTTTTCCAACAGGCAACTATACAGATAATTAAGTAAAGATTAAGCAAAAGTGATGGATCAAGAAAAGGATGCTGGGAAGCTCTCCCTCCCCGCCATGGGCAATGAGAAGGAATGGAACGGTGGCTAGGCCTGCTCTGACCTATACGCTCACTGTGTGGCCATGAAGACACTCATAGCACATGCACAGCTCCCACAGACACTGCTGGCCAACACACACAGACCTCGAGTGCATGCGGTCCCTGAGCACTAAGAGAAGAATACATATAGACAAGCACTCGACAAAGAGCTTTCCCATAGAATGAACTACAATAGTAAAGCTTTGCTCAGGGGCTGAATCTAATGCAGAAGCAAAGCAATTCATGTGCCAGAAAGCTTTTACATTTAGCTTTACAAAATATCTGAAAGCAATTTAGATACCTAAACCCAACCTCGGGTTTGAAAAATTACTTCAAAATGTTAGTAATAGATGAATTTCTTGTATCTTACCACTGTTGAGTAAAAATCCCATAAAACACACTTTCGCGCCAGTCTGCTCTCTTCAATAAAAAGACATCCTGAACAATATTAAACTGGAAATTCGACTCTGGAATGGAACAGGTAAGTCTGGATTTTAAAAATGACGTCCATCTTTTTTGCAATATGCGTTTTCCACCGAGATCACCCTGTATGAAGGGAAAGCATTATCACTGCAGAATTTTCAAGTTGATTTCACTACATAAACAGACTGCATAGCATTGTCATACAAGGGATTGGTTCAATCTTCCTATAGGACTCTGAATTTTCAAAGCCAAAAGATTTGAATGTTAGAGGGAGGTTTGACAGGGGGCTCTGAAGAGTCTGGAAGAAGGAAAAAGTGAGTTCAATTATAGAAGGCTAGAGACAGAATTTTAATTGGTAAAAACTAGGCTCATTCTTCCATAAAGCTTTATCTAAATTATGTACATACTTTAAACAGCTATAATACAAATACTAACTTTGCAGACACGAGCAATTCTTGATACCAGGAGTTTGTCATAGAATTCAAATTCAACAGCTGTTTCAGTGAAGAACACATAAATTTTATCATCATCTCCATCTGGATTAGATTCACTTTCTTGCACAATATCCATATAGACAAAGCTTGGGTCTGGAATATATAAACAGACATAATACAACAGAGTTTTTTCTAAAGTAGAGAACAAAAAGCAATGAAATACAATTCATATCACAAGTTATTTTTTTAAAAAGTGGTAAAATAATGATTACAGTGGGCAAGGAAAGGCCTGGAAAGAGCTTATTAGTTAGTACCTAATGTTTTCAAAAGAATTCAAAAGGGTTAAAAAATATATTTGCATAAGTGGAAATGGACTACAGGTTGAACCTCTGTAGTCAGGGATTCCATTGTCTAGCAACATCTGTGGTCCGGCACTGGCGGTGACTCTGTGGGTGCTCTAGGACTGGAGCACTCATGGGGAAAAACAGCACCATGCTCCCTTCTCTGCCCCTTCCCCTGCGTGCAGGCAGCTCAACGCTTAGCAATTCCTTCCTCACTCTTCCAAAGCTTCGGAAGTGCCAAGATCAGGGAGGGAGGAGGAAGAGCAGGGACATGACACACTCAGGAAAGTAAGCAGGGACGGTGGCTGGGCTGGTCTGAGCATGGAGCTGTGCTGGTGCAAAGCCTAGGTGTGTGGAGATTTGTTGGCACTCTGCATTGACCTGCTCTGATTCGGTAACTTCTCTATTTCGGCATGGGTTCTGACGGTGCTGGACTAGAGAGGTTCTACCTATACTAACTGTCTCTTCACCTTAGTCCTTAATTATAAGCTTATTTTATATTTAGTCCTCAATTTTGGAGCTTGCTTTTTCTGGACACTGCAAATCAATTCACATTAATTTTAGACAGAAGTACACAGATACCTAGGTTAATATTTTGCGGGAGATTAAATTTATTACTACTAATGCTAAATCGGAACCTTTTATATTTCCTAAACAAAAGGTTTACAGATGAGTTTAATGTTCTTCTATCTCCTTTCCATTTTTATGCAGAATAAGGTTTGTATAGAAAGAGGAAACATTTTATGGACAATAAAGTGGGCCTAAAGAAGTTAAAAAAAACAAAAAAACACTGCACATAAGTGAGTATGCCTAGAAGAGGTTTTATGTTTACAGATTGTGCAATACAGATACACAAGATGATGTGAATGCAATATGGGATTGACACACAATTCTAAAGAAACTAGGAAAGTCAATGTCAACATCTGATTTTTTAGCAGTTTATTATTATTTTTTTTAAGTTTAGGAACCGTATAAAAGCTGTTTAGGAACTCTAACAAATTATTTGTAGCAGGTTCCTACAAAAATGCCTTCAGATCCATGCTGTTTACTAATAGCAGGACTAGAGAAGCACTGAAATTCATGGCTGATGCTTGTCTATTTGCATTTTGTTTGCCTATGCTAAATTAATAAGTGAAGTCTAGCATGCCATGGAAGGTGGTTAGAAAAAAATTCACCTGCTCTTGCTTAGCACACTATTCACAATATGAAGCACTCGTTAATGTATATGAGATATTAATTGTATTTAAAATACACACACAAAATCTGTTTTCTAAACAGGAATGCTGGAACAATTTGCATGAGGAAGTGCCAAAAGCCACTGAACCAAACTGTAAAACCTGTATGTAAAGTACACTACTTCAACTCAGGGATGCTACAGCCCTTTTCTTCAGTAACCGTCAAATGTTACAGGTGTTATTGTATTATAACATTTCATAATCAACTAAAACACAACTGAATTTTAAACCAGTAATGAGAAAGACAGAAAATAATTATGATCTAACATTTGGCTTCCATGCATGCAAGGGTCATAAACTATGTCATATTTCAGCTGGCATCTTTAAAATGACAGCTGAATTTAAAAACCAAGATTTAAATTACATGTCACGGTTTATATATTGCAAGGGGGAATGCCCCACATTAGACTTTCAGAACTCTACACTAGGAAGAAAAATGGTTACAGTTCTTATTTTTTTTATTAAAAAAGTCACACAAGATGGAATATTTGCACTGCAGGTATAAAAACATCTTACCATTTAGCCAAGATGGTTTAAACTCTGTCCTTACATGGTTTCTCAAACTGCGAAGTATAATAGGCTCAGTGCCCAAGAAGTTGTTTGAAGTGGCTGAATAAAAAGCACTATCTGCAAAGAGTTTAAAGAAATAAAAGTGTATAATATACTTTTTTTTCAAATGTAAAGGAATGGTCATCTGTTATATATATTAATCACATGCAAATATTTATAGCAATGGGATCAGGTATAGCTAGAATTTTACCTGCTGAAAAGTCTAGGTTGCTAGTCTTGCAAGGTGCTCAGCAGCCTCAGTTGCTACAAAATTGATTAGGAGTTGAGTTCACGCAGCACCATGCATAATTAGGTCCTTAAGATAGTAAGATGTTGGGACAGGAATGTATTTTTGTTTTTTTGGCTTGGTAGACAGCTGTCTAAAGTGAATTACGGTACAACTAGCTGGAAGCTACAAGTTGCAGTAGGCCCCTAGGGCAGATCTTAAAAGTGTTAACAGGAAAATGTAAAGAAAATTGCTGTGAGTATGTCTAGACGACAGGGTAGCCTTTTTCAAAAAAACTTCCCCTGCGTCTAGACTGCTGCACATTCTTTCGAAAGTAAATTGAAGGAACGCAGCAATTTTTTCGACAGCAGAAAACCTTGTTTTACAAGGAAGAATGCCTTTTTTCAAAAGTGCTCTTTCGAAATAAAAGGCGCTTTGTAATGCAAACTGTGCTTTTTCGAAAGAGAGCATCCAGACTGCCTGGGTGCTCTCTTTCGAAAAAGCAGCTTGCTTTTTCAAAAGTACTGGTTGCAGTCTAGATGCTCTTTTTCAAAAGAGCCTCTTTCGAAAGAGGCTTGCAGTCTAGACGTAGCCTGTGTGAGTTCTGTATTTATACTCATCATAATTTTTAATGCCCAACATCAATCCTGTTAGACAGCTTGTTTTCTTAAAAACAGACAAGTATCCCCCAAACCTACTGAATATAATTGTGTTTTCTCATTATCAAGGCTATCTCTTTTAAGCAACTGCTTATGCTATTCCCTTGAGCAGTCTTTTAAAAACAGATTTCACTCTGTATTTGTGCATAGGTCCAAAATAGGATGCAACATGAATTTAAAATTCCAGTAAGATCCAAGGATAAATAGAAGAATACTTTAGGAACATGATTTAATAGGCAAAGGATAAAACATACAACGAATGTTTGAAAGCCAACAATTGCTAGGTAGACTCTCAGAGAAGTGACCCGGATGATGACTCTGGTAATCTCAAAAGTTGCTAAGGGACACTGAACAAGGTTTCAAGGGTAGTTTTTGCACATGAAGAAAATCTGCTCCATGTGTTTTTTTAGTAATTACATCTGAAAGATTTCACGGTGCCCGTGTGACCTTCAAACACATCAGAAACCTAAGAAATTCAAGAGTAAGTAGTTAGATTCAAGGATATCAGTTACGGTTGCAAGAGTTGTACTAAGAAAATCATTAGCAATCAATCTTTCTAAAAAGTTCCTATCTATGAGCCAGCAGAAGCCAAAAAGTAGATGTGTCAATGCACAGAAATCCGCTCCATTTAGTTTTTCATAGGTTTCATCTGTGTTCTCTTCCAATTTTTAAACTGCAAATCAATGTTAACACTTCATGAACCTTCACAGACATCAAATTAGGATTGTAGTAGTTGACCGTTGTAATTAGCTGTGAAATATTATTTCAGTTTACATGGAATTCCCAAAACATACCAACTAACAAGGAAGCATACTTCAGAGTAGGTTCAAAAGGACACCTCCCTCTGCTTTCTTCAGCTTTCCCTTGCAGATGAATATCTGTACTGTTGATGACCTGTTGTAAACAATCATTCTATTCAGCTAAAATCAAAACTCATATCTGATTAAAAATAATGTTAATAGTATTATTTTAAGAGAATTATCATGGAGTGATTATGGAAGTATGAGTATTTATACAAATAGAAATGTATTCAGTTTATTTTTTTCCGGTCTTTTTTGTTTTTAATCAAATACTATGAAAACGCCTCTTTAAATCCATTGGCCAGGGTCAAAACACCCTGCCCAACGTGAATACATTTTGGTTTGAAAAAATGTATTTCTTTTTAGAATTTGTACTCTTCTATGCAAATTCCCTAAATGCTGATGAGAAAAATTAAAATCTTGTACAAGTGCCACTACGGCAAAGCCCTCAGTATTCACAAGTTGCCTGGTATGTGAGAAAGTAAGTTCCTATCAAATATAGACTATTATGGGTGCATTTGGTGAAAATATATCATTCATCCAATTTGCAGCCCACTGTCAAGTGTTAATTATTATTTACATATCATGGCACTCAACTGAAATTTAATCCTGTTTTAATGTTTAAACAAAATTTGTTTTTAGCAGAACTAGATAAACAAAGGGAAAGAACTAAGAATAGTGAAATATATATTCAGTAAGTAAACATGAAAAGCATTCATAAATATATGCAGAGATAATGCAACAACATAATAAATGAAAATGACTGTTTCCAGATATAAAACACAAAAATGAAACACAATAATGAAAACACTTAATCCTGGTACTAAATTTGTTCCATACATTTAAAATAATTGATTTTTTAATTAAAAACAATCACAATAAAATAATGATTACTAATTTTCAATAGGAACTTTACTTGGAAAGGTACTTAAAGATCCACCATACAATTCAAACAATTTTATGCACACATAGTAAAGGATGTGTTTAAGTATATAAAATACTCACCATGTAATCACAAGCTGGATAAAATGCATTGGTTCCACAAACATATAAGTTAGTGTCATTTATCTTATGAAGGAGGAGGATGTAGTTTCGGCAATCCGCCTGAAACCAAAATAACAGTAAATTTTCATACATTAGGGGTGAGTGAATGAAGGTTTCCAGGTGCCATCACAAAAAGACCTCAGAACACAGAGAATGTGTCCAAATACACTGGACTCAAGCTCAACAGATAAATTTAAGAGTAACACAAATTTTAATGCTCAACAATTTACAGTATCAGATCTTAAAAATATGTTTACAGAAATTACTGATCATGTATATAGCTGTACAAAGCATAGACCCAGAAAAGCACTTTAAGAACATGCTTACCTTTAAGCATGTGAGTAGTCCCAGTTGATTTTAGTGTTACTACCCACATGCTAAAGTACTTCGTGTGATCATGGCTTAAATATATACAGGCAGTTGCCGGGTTACATGGATCCGACTTACATCGGATCCCTACTTACAAACGGGATAAGGCAACCCCGCACTAGCTGCTTCCCCCCAGCAGACCAGGGAGACACGGAGCGGCTTTTCTCAGCAGACACCTCAACTTGAGAATAAAGGACTGAGGGAAGTGAGGTGTGGGAGAATAAAACTGAGCTCTGGAGAAATGTTTGGCTAGAGTTTCCCCTACAATATGTACCAGTTCCGACTTACATACAAATTCAACTTAAGAACAAACCTACAGTCCCTATCTTGTACGTAACCCGGGGACTGCCTGTATAGCACTATTGAAGATTGGCTAGGGCCAAACAGACTATAGTCTGAAAATAAAAGCAAGACATAATGCATTCAGAGTAGGGTGTGTCAGAAGTGTAGTTACTGTAAAGGAATAGAAGTTTCAGAACCAGATTCTTCTATATTTGCTTATTGTTTTAAAAAGTTATTCAATATGGTCACTTATTTAATAACTAGGCAGTGAAAACAAACACTTTACCTACTTTGTCCTTTCCTCTGCGAATGCATTCCAATTGTCTATCCCTTGTTGTGTACCAGTCTTCCTAGAACCCAAAAAATATCCCATATTTAGCATACTGTGATTTTTGGTATAAAATTCGAAATGTAAAATCAAAATCAACCTACATTTTGGTTTTGCTTTAAGGTGCAAAGCCAGCTGTCACCTCCATGGAGATCCTCCTAGCAGTGCTGATTTGGTGCCACTGCTTCAGAAGAAGGGACTAGATTGAGGGGCTATCCCTTGGGGTAAGTGCCCCCCGAAGAACACAGTCTCCCCCCAGAACAGGGCTTTCTGACTGAGCTGGGCAATAAGTTCCTGGACTGGGCCTTTACTGAAGGCCTGTGAGTTGCCACATGAGACACAAGATGCTAAAAGCACATTTTATAAATTAATTACATGCAGTGACATTGCTAGACTATTGTAATGATTGTCACAAAGCACAGGCAGTCTTGTAGAATGGATCATGCTCGGCCATACCCAAATCCTGTAAATTGCTCTGTGTGAAGTGAACTCCTCACTTTCATTGGGGTTTGTACAGGCAAGTAAGGCTCATCCATGTGGAACAGCTTACAAGACAAGGGCTCCAGTGTATACAGAAACCCCACAGAACACAGAACTTCCTCATCAGAAGGCATGTCTTTCACATCTGAGCTAAATTTATGAGCTTCATAATATCTTGGCGTTCTTTCACTTCTATTCTTGTAAATTATTTACATAAAAATGCCATATCACAAAACAGGTTTCATGAGAGAGGAACTTAAAAGAAACATTAAAACCACTTCATTCGAAGTCAATGGGAGTTGTGGGTATGCAGCACCTTAAAAATTAAACCACAGGTTGAATCTCTCTAATCCAGCACCCTCAGAACCTGACTGATGCCTAATCAGAGAATTTGCTGGACCAGGGGAGGTCAATATTGTTTAACACCATTACCAACACTTCCACTGCTTACATTTAGGGCCAAATTAGAGCTAAATAATTAGAGCTCACAGAATACTGAGAACTAGGACTGGCGGCTTTATGGGACTGCCGGAAACGTAGCCATACCCACGATAAGTGGACAATCATGTTGGATGACAGAGAGTGTCAGACTAGAGAGGTTCAACCTGCATTATAGTCTAAAGGCACAAATCAGTATGATACAAAGCTGCACAACAAAAAAACATTACAATACTATCTGACGGAGCTAACTCTGGTGGCTGCAGCTTTGAATGCTTCCTGGCACAGCCATGTCTTCAGTTTTAAAAAACAGGAATTACAAATACATAGGCAGGCACTGACTGATGGCTATTACCACCTTGAATAGAGGTATCTATTTACCTTGGATTTATGAAAATATTTCAACAAAAATAATAATCAGATTGTGTCATTTAGGTTGTTCCACACGAGGGCATTGGTGGGTTGAGATGCAGCCTGTAGTTAAAGAGCTAAGAGGCTTTAAATGGTATTTATTGTGCTGCTAACCCATTTATAACCCATTTATTTATCACTAACTAAAAATGACTTGTGCTGATCCTGCAAGGATGAGAATAAATAAACTGTGGTTCGGAGCAATCACATTTTTGACTGAGCTCACCACTTTGCAGCACCAAAAAGCTAAACATGCAAAAAGGGCCTTATTTTTATGGTCATTACCACACACATTCGGTACATTGATCCCAATCTGGCAAACTCTTATTCATGTGAATAATCATAAGTAGTCCTTTTCAATGGTTCTACTCACATAAGGGCCACTCACAGTAGCAACAATCTGGCTTTTGGTCTACATTTTCCCAGATCTGAAAGGTTCGCTATCATCACTGAACACTATCCTGAATTTGTGAACTCGTCCACTGAGCAATATTTCTACTGGAAAAACTTCACAGGCAGTTGTAATTCCCCAGATTATATGACTGAACATCTATCTCATACTGACAGTTGCAAGACATTGCTTTGTTGTCTTTAGAAATCTGAAATTAAGTGATTTCAGTAAAAAAAATCTTAAGCAAGACAGGTTTTTTTTAAAAAAAAGGGATAAATAGTTGTTCAGCTTACACTGGCTATTTCTCTTGAGATGTCATTCAAGTCAAGAGCAAATATAGCATCTCTGGCTCCAACAAATAAGGTGTCAGTTTCTTCACTCACCAAGAGTGTGGAAAAATTGGATAATCCTGGTTTCATAAACGTTTTAATATTTCCATCTAAAAATATACAAGTTATAAAGTTATTTTAAAAATTATTTGCTGCTAAAATACCATTGCCATGAAACAAAAATACCAGATTGAAAAAAGGGATAGCAGTGGGACAAAGGTTTATATTTTATACACATTTTCCAGGACTGCAAGTTAAATAATTTTCAGTTATAAAGGGATATTTTATTCCCACTTTTATTAATTATATACCAAAGTCTCCAGCCACTAGATTTAATGTTATGGTAAATCACAGCAGAACATGCATATAAGAATCTGGGGCAGAAAGAGTGACCAATGATGTTGAAAACTCTGTTGTCTTCAAGATTACCGCAAAGGGTTCTTTGCATGAAAAGGGAAATTCTTCGACATTGTTAGATCTCAAAATCAAGCAGATTTGGGATGCGTCAGTACTTGGATAAGGAAATGCTACGGGATGACAAAAGAAGTGTTGGTGATGAAGTTGGTGGCATTTTTTTTTCCTAAGCCTGCCCTGAAAATCAGTGCTGGCAATTCTTATATACCTAACACACAGGGAACCTTACTGTTCTTCAGCATGTATCTTTTACACAAGAGATTTATCACACTTACTGTGGTATGTTACTGTTTTTCTGGGAATGCAGTTCAGGATAGATGCTTCCAGCAGTTGCATTAATCCATAAACAAGACAGAGACAAAGAACAGGAGTGGTACCACTCATTTTCAGAAATCCAGTTAGAATATGATCTATCCAGTGTAAATTCCTTTAAATTTGAATATTTACAGTCGGCATTTTCTGCATGGTTCTTGAAAAGATCTTATTAGGAGGTCTCTGGTGTAGCTATCTGTAGCTTTCAACATTTTATGAAGCTTCTGCAAATCAAAGTTGTGCCCTTTAAATTTTTATTTTTTAATAAACTTTTCCACTAACATCTAAGACATACCCTTAAATTAAAAGCAGTTTAAGATCAATTCAACTGATTACCTTGATCAATTATCTTCAAATGATAAAGCGAAGGTCAGTTGATTACCTTACTTTTTCTAACAAAAACATCATCTTCAGTTGTAAAGTCTTTTTTCATTTGTATTTTACAGTTACCTTGTGCATTGGTAGCTATTCCCACCTGACACTAGTCAAACCTTGTTTGAACGTATGAATGTTTTGATCAGATCTACTGTCTTCTGCAATAAGTAGACACAACAGAGTGATGGTAACAATGACAGGCACAACTTTCGCTTGGATTATTTTTTGCTTTCATGCGTTTTCTGCCTTAGCCGTCTTTCACAACTTTCTTCCACACAGGTAGCCTTTATTTGTATGAACCCATGGTCTCCTTTGGAGAGAGAAAAGACCTGCAGTATGTTCTTTTGTGCAGTTGTACCAATGTGGAGGAAAAGGTATATGGATAGGTGGGAGGCACGGCTGGCATGACATTGCGGGCATCCAAGCCAGCAACTAAAGAGCACAAACCACAGCTGACGCCCAAGCCTGATCATCTCACTTAGCTTCACACGGTGGCATTGGTGCCTGGCAACTGCCCCGTTTTCTACCCCCAGTGCCAGCCCTGGTAGGAGGGCACCACGGGACAGAGTTCAAAAGTGGGAAGCCCACCAGATCTGTTACTCAGAAGCGACAACAAAAGAGCCAGAGGCTGGGATCATGCTCCCCCGGCTCCCATTCAGTCCTTCGCCAGGCACCATGCTGCACCCCAAAGGGTCTCTGA